ATAATATATATATATATATATAAAAGATGAATTTGAGTTAGGGTTTTTGTGAGTAAAATGAGATAAGAATGAATATTACTTAGGGGAAGAACCATCTCAGCACAAAAACTGCGATTTCTCTTCCTCTCTTGAAATTGTTACTGCTATCATTTCTCTTTTATGACTCAATGATTATTTTATTCTTTGTTTTACTATGATTTTTTATTTATTTTTTATATTGTGAAATTAGGATTTTTAATATTTTAGAAAAGAAAATTAAAATAAGACATTGCTGTATCTTAGAATTCAATACTAAAAATATTTCTTCACGAGTGAATAATTGAAAGCTATTAAAAAATTAAAAAAAAATTATTTTGTACCTGTAACAAATTTCATATTTTTTTTCTTCCTAGTTGATGTTTGTAAATTTATAAGATATTTTAAATGAATAAAAGTGTATGAAAGACAAACTTTCATTCAAATACCAATATAAAATGAAGGGACATATTTAGTTATAGAGAGTAGGGTAACTGTCCTACTATTTTTTTAATCATTTATAAATTTATAAACAAAATATTTTAAATCATAAATTATAAAAAAATTGAAATGTTGTTTAGAATAATTTTTAGCATGTGCAACACTGCATAACTTTCTTCATAAAGAATGTCATTCCGATGAATTTTCAATTGGAGTGGTGAATGAACCTTCATCTTTAACATCATCGGTTAATGAAAATCATAACTTTAAACCTATTATTAAAACCTAGGAACAAGAACGAAAAGATGCTAATGCTTGGAAGACTAGTATAAATATGGATATGTGAGTGAATATTATTTAGAAAGACATAATATTACGAAGAATTATTATTATTATTATTTATCCAGATATTGTTATTTTTATTATTATTTTTATCTTTGACTCTTTTTAAATTTGAATGTATAAAGAAAAAAATCTTGAACTATTATCGTATGTCAAAAATCTATGAAATTTGCAAAGTTCACAAAGTTCCGTAGAATCCATTAAAATCCTAACTTAAAAGTCTCGTAAAATCCATTAAAATCCTGATTAAAAGTCTTGTAAAGTCCTACAAAATCATAAAAATCTTACAAAATTTTTTAAAATCCACAAGACTTTCTTTTAAAAAAAAGTCATTTAAAATCCTAATCCACTACGCCCTTCAATAAATTATAAATTCTATTTTATTCTATTATATTTGTTACCAACCTACTTTTTTATATAATCAATTCTCACGATTCTTTTTCTATTACATTCGTTGTTCTCTATCTGCCATAGGTTAATCGTGTATAGTTCTGGTGTAAAAGAAAAACACATACAGTTGTGAACCAAAACCAAAACCAAAAGGGTTCCAGAGAGTGGCGCCGGAAACTTATTTGGCCGCATAAAATCGTTGACTATTTCTCACTCACTCTCGTGTTTCGTTTTCTCCGATTCCGCAGCGACGCATAGATGCCAGAAGCACGAGGTGAATCAATTTCTTCCAATCTCATTTATCTTTATCCCAATGCATAATTAATAATCCATAGTAATGTACTAACGCTGTTTTTGCTTCAGAGCTTCCAGGGTTTTATTATGACCCTGAGAAGAACAGGTATTTCCCCATCAAAGGCCCTATTCCTGGTTCTTCTTCTAAGCCCAAGACACCCCAAGCCCCTTCCAAACAGGTATATATAAAGGGAGTATTTAATGTAGTGGCATGCTGAGGTTAAATGTAACGCAGGTTCTTGAAAATTGAACTTAAAAATTTGACTGATTTTAGGTGCAGGAAAGTGGTGGGAGTTGTTGTAGGAAGCTTAGAAACAGAACTTCTAAGCTGCTTCAGGCTAGGGAGTTGGATGGTCACCGTGTCATTGCCTCTCACAATTGCAAGCGTAATATTGCTGAGGAATTCCGGAAAATACACGCAGCTAAACCTGTTGTACGTGCTGCTTTTGTTTCTTTTGCTATGCTGTTTTGTGTGTTGAGTCTAATTTATGGTTGAATTTGCAGGTCTGGAAATTTCGGGGAGCTGATAAGATAGGTATCAGCGCTATGGAACACTTGCGTGTTGATGTGCAGACGCGGCATGGGCAATCTGAAACTGATGTTTTGTTGACGGGCAACATAAATGGATCACTGAGGTAACTTATTGTGTGCTTGCTTGTATTCTGTAATGTTGTCGAGAGCATTTGGGAGAATCTCTAACCTTTGTTATTGTGATTGAATTGTGTCTTGTGTGAATTGTGAAATGAATGTAAACATGTCTTATAAGTTGTTTCTAACTATTTATGTAAGTTAAATTAAGCGAGTTCAAATTTGCCTTAGTTTATGATGTTATCAGAATGTATAAAGTGAAATAATATTGTTTTGCTAACCATTGCCCTTATAACAAAGTGTAAAGTTTTCAATGTAAAGTATAGCCTTTTAATCTTACTCAGCACAATGCTAGCAACACATTTTCTAACATACTATTATTGGTTAAAATTTATTGCAAAGCATGATCTTTTGTGGATCCTACTTCTTTTATAATGAGTTTCACTCGTGATTTAGTAATTTTCAATAAAATTTACCTATAATAGAATGTGTTGCCAGCGTTGCTCAGTGATCCTGCAAACCGACTGAATTACACTGGTTGCACTTGAACCTAACAGATGTTGATCTTGGTTTTATGCTTGTTAACATTGATGTATAATGTTGATTACTATTTACTAGTTGCTGTTTGTGAAGTTTGGTATTTGCAGTTTTTCTGAAGTTGGAAAGGTTGGACAATATTTTGATGGTGGGGCACAATGGATGGCAGATTGTGTGAAGAATTATGATAAGGGGAAAACAGTCGAGCAGGATGAGTTGCTTGGGCCAGTTTTCAGACCTAATCGAGCTGCATTACTTATGCCCTCCAGGATATCTTGTATAAGATTGGGTCCGAATTGCTCTTCTCATGCTGTGAATGGCAGTCCTATTGTTGGACATGCATTGTATCCTTTTGAAATTTTTGGTTCTTTTTGTTATTTCTCTGTAAGCACTGTATGTATATATGTATATTGTCAAATTTATAACATTTAGTCATATCATGTAACTTTTAATCTTGATCTTCCACAGCTATATGTTAAATCCTCTCTATCATCCGTAATGGAACAATATATTCCATCTTTTTAGGATAAAATTGATCTTGAAGTGAAAGATCTTAACATGATAATAGATTTACTACTTTGGGATCAGAGACATCAGGTGGATCAGTTTATACAATTGGTTTTGTTGAACCATTAGACCTTGGAGCAGGTATACTGAACACATGGAGCAGACTAGAGGAAATTGCTTCTTTCAGGTGTACCCTTTGGACAGCAGAATACGATTATAATAGACATCAGGCTGTAATCGGCAAGTTACATATTGCTCTCCTCTGTCTCTCTGTCTCTCTCACACACATGTCAAGATGCATGTGCTTATGTCAAATAATGTCAAACTTAGATACAGCCACATGACATTTTGTGGGGAATTTGTACTTAACTGTTAGCATTGATTCATGGCCTCTCTGATTTGTTATGCTTCACATTCCCTCATTAGCACTTCCCTATATAGATTCCAACCAAGTTGGGTTTTGATTATTACCAATAGCTATAGGTTGCAAGGGATAAATAATTTTGGGCATAACATGCACCCAAACTTTTGTCAACAGTTCAATAAGAATTATGGATTGTTGAGATACTATGCTTGCTTCTGTTCACTGTGGATTTATTATATTTTGGTATTTTATCCCATTCTTGTAGAAAATACTATTCCTAATCCATTAAATCTCTTTACTGTTGGATTTTTAGCTTATAAAATTTAGTTTCATGGAATAATCTAGTGTAGCCTGTGCCTGTATCAGTATGACTGTGAATGATCTGTTTTGTTTTGCTTCTGTCTGGTGTGCATTTTGCTTCCATTTTTTTTTATTTGATTAAGATACTGAAACATGTGCCATGGTAAATGGTTTTTTAAGTCTTGGTAGTTCATGAGCATGACGGTTGTGATTTATTCCCTCTTAAATAAGAAATATCTGAACAAAGTTTTATACATTACAATTTCCCTCCTTGTAATTTCATATCTAATCTTTTGCATGATATTTATCTGTCTACTTTGATATTAGGTACAAATATGGGAGGTGCTTCAGTGAATCTGGAAACTGGGATTACATCATGGTTTTTACATTGTAAAAGTGATGTTTTTGCACAACAAATTGTTAATTCGGTAAGTTATCCCCTTTTATTTTAAAATATTGTAACTAATTCACAATTAAATACTGCCCTAGACATTTTCTTAAAATCAAATAAATCATTAAATTGCAAAAAAGTGAAGATCTAGTATTCAGCCTTGTATTCTTGTTTAGTTCTGACTATGTGAATCAGATTTGCACCATTATTTCTGCAAATAATATTCAATCTCCCTTTATCTTTGGTGCCAACATAACAACTAGTATCAAATGAAGGGGTTTACCATCCTTTGAGAATTCATGGGAGACCATAGAGTCCATCCAGAGATATTTTTTCTCTTTTCCCCTTGAGGATAAGGTGGCTTTGTTATTTATTTATTTTTTTTTTGTGGGAAGGGGGGGTAGGGAGGGAGGTGTATTGATAGTTTCCCATTAGTTAGAAGGGTATATATTAGCAAACTAGAAAGGAAAGCATTAGTCAAGAGAATCAGTTTGATTCTGTTGTGGGAATAATGATTGTAACATCTGTCAGTAATAGCACTGATGGGAGTTAGTTGGAACAATGTGAGTTGCTTGGAAACATGCCCGACACTGCGACATTTCAAACAACAGAAGTGTCTGTGCTTCACAGGTTGAGAGTTTTATGACACTGATGTTCTTGTTTATTTGTTTGTTTGCTTGTGTTCTTTTCTAATTTCTTTGTTCTGGAAAAAATCTTATCATCTGATTTAATCTCATTACTTCTTTCCTGTCTTCAATAAAGCTTCTTCTTTTATGTAAAATGAAGTGTGATATTTGTTGATTTCTGTCATTGTTTAGTTTTCATTTTTTTCCCTA